AGGGGCAGGGGCCGGAGCAGACGCCGCTGCCCGCAGCCCAGGCCCAGGTCCAGGCCGCGGTCCCCGAGGGTGGCAAGGGGCGCGCAGCGGCGGACGCCCTCAACAGGCAAATCCGCGAGGAGGTGGCGAGCGCGGTGAGCAGCTCCTACAGGTGAGACGCGGGCCTCAGCGCAGGCGACAAGACACCCTTACCCTTTCCCGAAAGCTGCCAGGCCGAGGCTCGTTCTCTGCATCGCAGGCCGCACACGCAGCCCCTCCCCTTCCAGACCACACCCTCGCCCCAGCCGCATCCCAGACACCCTTCCAGGGCTGGCTTCTTTCTGCTTTCTTATGGGAAGGCTGTGAGCGCTATCCATCCCGGCCTGCCCAGTCTTTCGCTATACCACTTTAGCCACTTTTCCCCCCACCTCAGATCCCTGCCTGCTCAACAGAGACCCTTTGCTGTTTCTTCACAGGTTGTGCCATTCTGCCCCACCCACCTCACCAGCTGCATTCGCCTGGATGCTGCCCCTTGCTGGCTGAGCTGCTGCCCGCTGGCCTTGGTGCCTTCCCGCAGGGCCCATCCTCCTAGAAGAAGACCTCTTTCCAAATGCCCAGTCCCCCTCCTCCGAAGCCCAGTCCACTTGGCCTTTCATTCTTCCCTCCATCTCTCAGTCCCTGGGAGACATCCAAGCACCACACCCTTTTCCAGAATCCCGGCAGGGCTCTTGGAAATCACCCTCCTCCTTCTACATCAGGCTTTTGAAGTCAGATTCCTTCCTCCTCTTAGTAGCTGTGACACACTGAGCACATTTCTTTACCTTTCTGGGCCTCCGGTTCTTGTAAGATGCGATTGATGATAGACTCTTCTCTTAGAATTGCTTGTTCATTTATTAAACATTAATATTCGACATATTTTTGAGCACCTACTATATGCCTCGTACCGCATTAGACATCATGAGGATTACATGAGATGCTGAGGAGGAGAATTATGCCTGGCACATCATAGGTGAAATCGATGTCTTAGTTCCATTACAACCGGTGCATGACGCCTCGTTATCCTGATTTCCACTTTCTAGGTACCTCCAGCCTTTTCCCCTGTTGATGTATTTCCTTTCTCCTTTCCCTTTATCTTCTCCAGTTGTGTTGCTCAGTCTGCTACCACTGAGAAGCCCTTCTTTAGCACATTTAAATTCCCTGTAAATGAATGCCTCCAAGAAAGGGCATATCCATTTTCCCTCTGTGTGTGTGTGTGTGTGTGTGTGTGTGTGTGTGTGTGTGTGTCTGTCTTTCTGCCTCTCTCTCTCCCTCCCTCCCTCCATCTCTCATACCCTCTCCCTCTCTCCATCCTTCTAGAATTCTCCTTCGGCTGCAGCCTCAGCCCTTCCAACTTGCTTTCTCACCCTTCACATATCCAATAATATGTATTTGTGAGTGCTTCGTTCTCCATCCTGCCCTAATGTTTTAACCCAGATCGAGAAGCTAACAGATCACATTTGACTCTGAACATGTAATATTGGGCTGTAGGGTCTCTGGGGAAACAGATGTGCATGATGAATAAATGAGCTAGCGGTGTTCAAAATGTGGCTTATGGGGTCCTTCATCAATGCCACAGCCAGTTGCCTCCTTCCTGCAGGAGACTGTGGTTGGGGGGACTGCAGAGTTAGTACTTTTTGCCAAGACACTATATGTAGCCTCATGTCGGACTGGTGTCTTTCTCCAATGAACATAACAACCACTCCCTCATATGCTGAGGGAAACATAGTATAGATAGATATCCTTCCTTTTTAAGACAAAAGTCCTCTCCCTCCCAGATTTTGACTCTGGAAAGCTTTCTCCAATGAGAGGGGGCAGCTAATATTTGGCTCCTAATCCATCTTCCTGAATTCCACCTCCCACTTGGCATTTCTCTCTTGGTTTATTGTTATCACGACCACAGTGGTCCCCCAGGAGTGCACTACTTTCTTTTTTTTCATGGCTTCGGTCAGGCAAGATTGTTTTCCTTGGCTCCTAGCCATCAGGAGTGGAATTTTCACAATTTCTTCATGCTACTACCAAGAGACGGTCCAAAAGAAAGGAAGGGAGCAAATAGACAAGGAGCATAAACAACAAAGCCAAGATGTAGTATTGCGACTCTGCCCTGGCTTTCTTGTTTACCAGGCGGGCCCTGCTTCATTCCCCGAGAGCCCTGCGATTGGCCCGATGTCACAGATTTTGGATCCGGTCTCCTCATCTTCCTACTTCCATCCTATTACCCTGAGGTGGGTGGAACCTTAACACCCACCTCGCTTTCTCAGAGGAACTACCCCTCCTCACCTCCAGGGAGTCAAGGCCAATCAAGAGAGATCCCAAATTCTCAAATCTCCTTTCGTGATCCTCCTCAGTTTATGTTTCCAAGGTAGTCAGACTCGCTTTGTTCATGGATTATTGGCTGGACAGTCAGGGAATGACCTACCCTTCAGATACAACCCTCCAAATATTTTGGCCTGTACCTTTGTTCCATCTGGCCTCTTCCCCACAAAACCCTACCATACCTGTACAGCAAACATGGCAGGCTTTACAGTTAGAAATATACTCAGGGCCACCTGGGTGGCTCAGTTGGTTAAGCCTCCGACTTTGGCCCAGGTCACGATCTCGCCATTCTTGAGTTCGAGCCCCGCATCGGGCTCTGTGCTGACAGCTCAGAGCCTGCAGCCTGCTTTGAGTTCTGTGTCTCCCTCTCTCTCTCTCTGCTCCTCCCCCGCTCTCACTCTCTCTCTCTCTCTCTCTAAAATAAATAAACATTAAAAAAATGCTTAAAAATATACTCATACTGCAAGTGATGGGATTGAATGGGGGAAGGCTATGCTCTTGCAGCTGGTGAGAATGATTATTTTAGTGACTATCAGAACTCCACCAACCTATCAAAAAAAATCTCTAAGCACCTCAAAAAAATTATTTTTCTCATTTGGGTCTTCTGTAAAATTTAATTATGCATGTGACTTTTGGGCCAGCAGTTCCATTTTGCTGTATAATCAGGAGGGTTTTGAAGCATTAAGAGAATGAGTGTTGCTAAGAGACATCAATTTCCTTAATGGACAATTTAAGTGCATGACAGATTTGATGTGAAATTTAACATTGTTTTTTTGTTTCAGAAGAAAAATTGACCAGTCATAGATAAATGCACTTTGGGTGAAAGTAGATATGAAGAAATAAGATAATCAATTAATCAGATATACCACAGAGAAAAAAGATGCCTGGAAATTGTAGGCTTATCTGGAACATTGATATTTCTTCCCTATGGCCTCAATGTTCTTTTCCTTGCTATGATTCCGAATATCTCCTGAATTTAAGTACGCCCCATGGCTGGCAGAGATGAGTCTTACATTGCCTTATTAGAAGCCAAGTTGGGTTCCATTTCAGAGATAATTTGATTTACAAACCCTTTTCTTCTGCCACTCTACATAAATCATGGTGGCTTACACCATGGTGACTAGTTCATCTCATGGGCTTTCCAAGTGACATCTGTCACATGACATGAATGCGAGCAGTTTGCTTAAATAGAGAAAAGACACATAATCCATCAGCTTACCATTCTGGTGTATAATGTAAAATATATATTCAGCACGCAGAGTCATATACATACTAATTGGTTTTCTCCTACACTATTCAGTTAGTAGATAGCATCGTATGTCTTTGACGCTATGATTTTGAGGAAACTTCTGAATTCAACTAGTTCATCTAATTCATAGCCTATCCACACTAGCCTGGGATTTTTGCATTAAGTGCTATCTCAGATGTCGTTCATTATTCACAATCAAGAAGTTGATTAGTCTTTAGTACACTCATATGACATAGATGATATTATAAAATCGGGAAAGCATGCCTCTGTTATCATTTTTAATATTAAGGATGGATTTCACGAGGCAGCCGTTTGTGACTTCAGACCTAGCATTCTCAATTAGAAAAGAGATGAGTCATGAGGAGGGGATTAAAATTCCCCTCTCAGTCAACCCCATTGCCCTCGACATCAGTTAATAGGGATAGATGGGGTGGCAGGTGCTCCCCATAGAAATGCTAATGAGAAACTTTTCCTGGAAGAAATCAGCTGAGGCACCAGGAGGTAGAATTAATAAACCAGAGGCAAAGTATTTGACAAATGAGAGTAGCAACAAGGAAGTCAGAAAGAAAAGGAACCTTTAGTATCTGCCCTACAGTCTCCCATGAAGGTTAGAGAAAGGCCCGTCTGACGTGGCTCCTGCTGACAGAACTGCCCTGTGCTTCTAGGGCAATTGCCCATTTCCCTAATTTCTTCCTGGGTAAGTCTCAGCAATACTTCGAGGCCAATCTCAGATGCTGAATCTTTAAGGAGACCTTCCAGGCTTTGCCGTTCAGAACTAATTTTTCTTGTATTCCCTTTTTATACTTTGCACACTTCTCATTGTCTGCTTGATTATAAGATGCTGTTTTCCATATCTGCCCCTTCCACCAGATCACAAACACTTGGAGAGAAGGGCTGTATTTGGTTCACCTCTCTACCTCTCACAGTGTAACACTGTGTCTAGGTGCCATACAGATTTGCTGAATCCAGTAGAATATTAAGAGTTTGGTGAACATTTTTTCCATCTACACATTGATTCATTTCATTCAGCTTTATTTAGTTGGATTTATTTCAAAAAAAAAAAATAATAACCACCAAGCCCCTGCTATGTATCAGATAGAGGGCTGGGGATACCAAATGAATAAGTTAAAACCTTTATGTAAGGAGCTGTACCTGCCTTGATCAAGATAAAATCCAATCTCTACTAGGTTAGCACTAGAAGTAAATGTTCAGGGGCGCCTGGGTGGCGCAGTCGGTTAAGCGTCCGTAGCCGGGTCGCGATCTCCGGCGGTCGTGATTTGAGCTTACTTGTCCGGACTCTGGGCTGTGGCTCTAGAGCCTGGAGAGCCTGTTCGATTCTGTGATTCCCTTCTCTTGCCCCTCACCGTTCATGCTCTGTCTCTCTCTGTCCCAAAAATAAATAAACGTTGAAAAAAAAATTAAAAAAAAAAAAAAAAGAAGTAAATGTTCAAATGAGGACAGGCAGCAAACTGAACAGACCTGATGTACCTTCACCCAGGGCAGTGGTCCTCAACCTTGACTGCACATTGGCGTCACCGGAGAGCTTAAAAAATGCTGATGCACAGGTGCCT